AATTTTAAATCTTGAGCACATTATTTTGTCCTGCATCCTTCATTCTTCTCCCAATATGCCTCCCATCTAAGGAATCATCAGAGGGAATATAATATGGTTGTCTCAGCTTTTGCCAGCTCTGAAATGAATTCTTCCCTGGTCACTCAAAATACTTACTTCTAACAAATACTGGTGCAGATAGAGAAGCCAGAATGACAGCATACACTGTACTGGAGAAAACAGTGTTTTTTACAAGTTAATGAAAATTGACTTTCCTTAAACTCTAATTTTTTAATTTCATATTCAACTTTTTAAAGCCCTACTTCTTAAATTTTCAGCAATACAAAGAGACATAAATTTTCAGAATCAAAATACAGAGAATACTAAACAAGTCAAAGGTTAATTCTCTACTATCCTCTATGAGTTTCAGCAATTGAATTAGTGAACAAATCTTATTTTAAAATTTGCTTGAAAAAAGTCCTACAGTTTTTAACACAACATAAAGAACTAGATATATCAGAGAGATGCAAAAAATGAAGTAGGGCTTAACTGCAGCTGCTTAAATGTACTTGCAAATGTTAATACTAAATACTCTAAGGTCAAAGAGGATTATAAGGACAGTTGAATAAGAATCTTCTTTAAAGAATAAATAGGGTTGGAGCAATAGCACAGCGGGTAGGGCATTTGCCTAGCACGCAGCTGACCTGAGTTCAATTCCCAGCATCCCATATGGTCCCCTGAGCACCGCCAGGAGTGATTCCTGAGTGCAGAGACAGGAATAACCCCTGTGCATTGCCGGGTGTGACCCAAAAAGCAAAAAAAAAAAAAAAAGGAATAAATAAATAGACTCAAGAGTTGGTATTGTATCAAGAGCTTCATCATCAAAAACACGATGAAGAAAAGACATTTACACTGCTATATTCATTGAAGCATTATTCACAATGTATGCAGAGACCAAATCATGAATAACTTTGCAATACATGGTGACTCAAATTTTAAAACAAAATCTGTAAACAACCCACTTGCCCAAAATCAGATGATTAGATAAAAAAAAAACTATGGTATATACATATAATGGAATATTACCCAGCTATAAGAAAAGATAAAATCATATAATTTGCTGCTATGTGAATGGATCTGGAAAGTATCATATTGAGTGAAGTTAGAGAGAACCAACAAAATAACCTGTTTCATATACAGGTATAAAGAAACATGTAGGGGAATAACAAATACCCAATGGCAACAGAAATGAGAAACATGAAAAATGTCCATAGTAGACATTTCTTGCCTTCCTGGGGCTAGAGCAATGGTAAATAGTATAATGGGTAGAGTACTTGCCATGCAACTGGCTAACCTGGGTTCAATATCTGGCATACATATGATCCCCAAAGTGATCCCTGTGATCCCTGGCTCTGTGTTCAGGAGTGATCCCTGAGCACAGAGCCAGGAGTAAGCCCTAAGTACTGACAGGTGTTGCCCAAAACCTCAAAAAATTAAAGTCAAAAATATTGTTAAAACGTCCCTGTCATACATTAAGGAAGGAAGGAAGGAAAGAAGGAAGGAAGGAAGGAAGGAAGGAAGGAAGGAAGGAAGGAAGGAAGGAAAGAAGGAAGGAAGGAAAGAAGGAGTGCTTGTCATAGAGGTAGGCTGAAGGGTCGGAGGGAAACTGGACACTGGTGGATGGAAGTAGGCACTGTGAAGGGATTGGTGTTGGATCATTGTATGCCAAAACCAAATCATGAATAATTTTGTAATTCTATGGTGATTAAAATTTTAAAACAAAACAAAAAGAACTGGTATCAAGTAGTCCTCTCAGATAAGTAAAACACTGAAATTACCAAAAATCAAGAACTTTATTTATATACTTTAGTAACATATAAATATTTCCACCTAACACTATTTTTCTATATCTTTTAATAAATTCCAATAAATTCTACAAATGTCAAAATAGCACCTACTCAGAAGTTAAAGATGATCCTTGATGCTAACTTAATAAATTTGCTCCTGCCTTTGGCTGGAGCAATAGCACAGTGGGTAGGGCCTTATACGTGGCCGACCCGGGTTCGATTCCTGTGCCCCTCTCAGAGAGCCCAGCAAGCTACTGAGAGTATCTCACCTGCACGGCATAGCCTGGCAAGCTCCCCGTGACGTATTCGATATGCCAAACACAGCAATAACAAGTCTCACAATTTGTTATGAGATGTTACTGGTGCCCACTCAAGCAAATCGAACGGGAGGACAGTGCTACAGTGCTACAGTGCTTCATACAACAAATGAATGTGGACGTGTATGTACCAAATGAACTTCTAGGTACTAGAAATTCAGCAGCGAGTTCATGCCCACATAGTACCTACATTCTACAAGAAAGGAAGCTTATAAAGAAGTCCTGATGATTTGCCCGTGGTAGGATGCTTGCTCTGTTTGAGAACTGGATTTATTCCCTTGTGCCACATAGGTCCCTAGGACCCTGCCAGAACTGATCCCAGAGCACAATCAAGAGTAAGCCCTGAAGACAGCTGGGTGTGGCCCCCAAACAAAACAAAACAAAAGCTGGTAGTAAGTACCTGAGAGAGAATCAGTAAGAAAGTGCCTGAAGATTAGTTCTATATGTGGCTCTCTCAGACCTCTTAGGAAACCCAATGATGTTCCAGAAAACCACAATGTTCAGGCCCCCTGCCAGAACCCACTTGCAAATAGAAGAAACAGAAAACTAGTGTGGTGACAGAAGAGTAAGTCAGGGTCAGAGCTGCAACACCCAGGAGTAGGGGGAGCTTAGACACTCCTTGGTAGGCCATTTTCCAGATTAGGCCATCTAGTGTAGGAGAGATGGGAAGTCACCTAACTGTGGCAGAAATGATTCTAATTAATGCCCTATAAAAGATCCCTGATATATGAGAAACAAAGGCTAAAGCAGGATAAACAGTTTAATCTAGACATCACAAAAGGCCTAGAGGAATATTTCAACTTCATGTGTTTGTAAGTCTGTGTTATCTGACTCTGTGTTCAATAACTAAGAGATCCACCCACCGAACTGTTCTCTTGTTTGTCATTGACTTGGAGAGACAGGGTTCTATAGAGAGTTCCGGAGGGAAAAGCAAGAGACCTTATAGGTTGCTTTTCAGGCTGATTCACTTGACAGTGCTTCCTTCATCTCATTTAATCTAATGTGTAATTAAGACAAAAATCGCCAGTTTCTCAACAACCTTTTTCAAAAATACTCCCTTACAAATATGGGAATGGGATGGGGTGGGGGTAGGGAGGAAATGAACCGCAGACAACAAAAATTTCATAGTATAGCTATTCATAACTCATAATAACCTATGAGTAATCAAAATCCATTTAACTAATATTCCTTTTGTTGTTGTTTGGGGGCCATCCCCGGTTTTGGGCCTATTCCTGGCTCTGGACTCAAGGATCACTCCTGAAGAGGTGGGGAAGTGGGGAGCTAGCAGGTGCTGGGGATCTAACCCAGGTCAGCCAAATGCAAGGCAAGCACCCTATCCACTCTACTATCACTCCAGCCCTTAACTAATACTCTTTTTAGAAATTAAAACATACTCCAAACCAAAAATATCTATCAATTCTCTCCCAAGCTGATATTTCAAAATTAAGTCATCAAATTCCTCTCTTAATGAAGACAGATTCTCAACCACTCTCTAAATTTCAAGTTTAGCAAATTGCAGGCTAACAGCATGCTTTTGCCAAAGCATGCTGTTAGCACTTCCAGTTATAAAAGAGGCAGGAAAATCACAACACTACATACCTTTGAGGACTTTAAGCCACACTTGGGGTGTTATTAATTGGTCTAAGAGAGTGTCAGAAACACATGCTTCCCAGCACACTTTGGTGATTCCATCCTATGCTCAGGGCACTCTGATAAATTAAATCATTCTGGCTGTGTCATGAGTCCCAGCTGGTATGCCTGAGTACTGCTCTTTGATGCAGAACAAGCAGCAGAAAATAAACTGCTGACGCCCCCTTTTCAAAATCGCGTTTTCAAGATCTTATATGTAGAAGGTAAGTAAAGCAAGATTTTAAACAAAAGCAGAGGTTAAAAAAGAATTCACTTTGGTTTTGCAGACTCACTAGCCGGGAAACGGTTGGCTTTTATTCCTTTACAACAGGCAGCATCTACAGCTGGAGGGAACCTGGGTGGGGGTGGGGAGAGGCAATTAAAAGGGATAATCCACCCTTTTGCTAACCAGTGGTGCTTTCATGGGCAGCAGAGGGGGATAGAGGAACCAGGCAGAAAGAAACTAAGGGACCAAGAGCCCCGTACAGGGCATTTCCCCAGCCTCACCAGACAGTATCAACCATATGCCTCATTAAGTTACTAACAAGTAAGGCAATTCTGTTCGCTGCGGCCAGGCTTTTGCAGCGCTCACATCACTACAGACCCTCTCACCAGTCAGCCTCTCTCTTTCCCTTCCAGTATAGCTCTTTCTTCAGTTTCCATTTTTTTTTTTCGTCTAATTCTGCAGAAGGCAATTCTTGCCAACTGTCTCCAATCCTTTCCGGGTAGCAGAAGCGATAGAAATAAATAATAAATCAAGATTTCTTTCTCCGGGATCTAAATTTAAATATTGCAGGCGAGGCGAGATGGTGAAAAAGGGGTGTGTGGGTGTCTAAGGCAAGATACATATTTTTTTCTTTTTTTTTTTAAATGGGTTGAGGGGAGATAAGAGAACAGCATGCCTACAGGATTTGAGAATTGAGAGTGTACAGTATGGGTATGGGGGTGGCGGGGCGTGGGGGGAGAAGGTGAGAGGGAGGGAGCGAGAGAGAGTCATTCCCAGGGCAAAGGGGAAGAATTGAGGGGCAAATCAAAAAGATCAGTCACCCAGTCGCTCACCCCTATCCTGGACCCCTCCCCGCCACTGCAGCGCCGCGCGCTCCCCGCACCCAGCGGGCAGCTAGATGCCCGCGCGCCGAGCGCAGCGCCGGGCGATGGGGATGGGCAGGGACCGCGACGGTCCGGCCGCGCTCGGGTTCCCGAGCAGCCCGACGGCCGCGAGACCTACCTGGAGCAGGGACAGTCGCGGATGTCCCCGGCACCTCCGGCGGCACCTCGGGCCGCTCCTCCTCCTCCGCCGCCGCCGCCGCCGCCGCCGCCGCTGCAGCCGCCGCCGCCTCCCGCTGCCGCTGCTGCTGCTGCTGGATGAGGCTGAGGTCGGAGCGGCTGAGCTCGGCCCTGGCGGCCGCGGGCACCGGCCGCGCCCTCAGCAGCACGGCGGCCAGGCCGAGAAGCAGGGTGCAGGGGACGCGCCGGCGCAGCCTCGCCATGGCCGGGAGCCGCGGGGACGCGGCGGCATAGTGCGGGGCCGGGCTCGGCTGCGCGCGTCTGCCCGCACCCGCTCCCGCGCAGGCGGGGGTTAGCAGCCCCGGCACGTGATGCTCGGGGCGGGGCGGGCGGCGGGTGGGGAGGGGTGGGGGGTGAGCACCCCGGCACGTGACCTTGGGGAGGGGCCAGCCGGGGCCCAGACGCCCCCCGCCAGCCCGCTGCTTGAACTGGTGCCGGGGGTGGCAGCTGCGGGTGCAGGAAAAAAAGGAGAGTCCTTCACACACACCCAGTGCCTACTGATGCCTCAAGAAATTCTGCAGAAAGTGCGATGAAATTACCCGCAGCTCACTCATAGTGGAGCAGGTGGTACCCCAACTACCCGCCTATGGTATTGCCCAGGCACCCATGGCGCCAAAGTCTATCTCTCAAACAGCAGCTTCCTAGCATCATCTTGCTAGCATCACGGCCGTCGTGGGTTAACCAGACTGTAAATTGCAGCGCTCCAGATTTCTACTGAACTTTTTTATTTCCTGCTGAAGCGGGCATTTTTTTCTATAGCATGAAATAGGAATAATTTTGTTAAATTGGAGAATGCACTTTCCAGTTGTTGAAATGTTATTTTACTCAAGGTGTACCAAATACTAAACTGGCGCTAGCATTTAGTGGAGATGTGGGAAGGATGTGCCAGGATCTCCCACCTGTTAGAGCAGAAGGATTTTTAAACACGTTCTAATCTGGGGTGGCGATGGCAACTGGAGAAATGCTGCAATGTGACGGACTGCACTGAGTCAGAAGAAATTAACAATGTGGTTTAGGAAACGCTGGGGGAAATGTGTTTTAAAAAAATAGCTCTACGCGTAAATTGGAGCAAACCAGCTTGAAAAAGCAAAGGTATTTGTGGCACAAAGCCTAGAGTTGTTTCATGGCACAGTGTGCTTGGAAAATTGAGATAATGGTTGTGACAGAATGAGTGTTTTTAGACGGAAAGGAGTGAAGACCAGATCATTAGAAACAAATAACAAACACTTCAGTAGTGCCAGACACTGCTGAACCATATATTAGCAACTGTAATAATCTCAGATGCTATATAAGGACACTGAAATTTAGAGTGCAAGTGATTATAAAGAAGTGAAGATAATTAGTCAGGGAAGCGACTTGATGCCAGTTTGCATTATGCAAGAATCACTTTGCTTCCCCTATGGAAAATAGACTACAGAGGGGCAGACCGGAGCACAGAAAGTGAGTTTAAAGGTGTTTGCAAAAGCCCTTAAGGAGGTACCCAATATTTGTAAGACAGAAACAAGACAGGGAAAATTCAGTATACAGACCAGATTTAACAGAGATGGTTGTTCAAATGGGAATGGGAGAGTTTGAGGAGTACACAAATTGCCAGATTGAGATTGTGATGTCATTAAGATGAATTGATGAAACAAATTTCAGACCCTATAGAGACCACACTCTACACACAGGCAGTTGCAGTGCCTTTACATTTGAAAGCCCATGAAACTTTATACAGTTTGAGTGAGGGTAATCTGACTGGTATGTCTCATATACGGCATTGTGGATTCAGCTGATTTGACTGATTGGCTGGTTTCTTTCCACTCAGCATTTATATTTGTGATCTTTCCATTTTGCAACTTGCTAGAAAAAAACTTCTCAGTAGTGTAAAATTATCCTTTACTCAATGGTAAAGAAATGGTGCCTATATAATCATATGTAGAAATAACAATAGGCATTTTACAAACATTACCTCTTTCCTTCATCAAAGTGATTCTACAAATTAGTTCTTAACTGTTCTTTTTTATGTTATTTTTTGCTTTTTGGGTCACACCAACAATACACAGGGGTTACTCCTGGCTCTGCAAATAGCAATTACTCCTGACGTCGTCCCTAGGGGTACTATATGGGATGCTGGGAATCAAACCGGGCTGGCTGTATGCAAGGCAAACGCCCTACCCACTGTGCTATTGCTCCAGTCACCTCATTGTTCTATTTAGTAAAAAAAGAAACACTAAATACCGAAAGGGTAGTGTCTTTCCTAAGGAAACACTAATTTCACATGGCTTTTCCTTTCGGCCCTGTCTGGAACCTCTTTTTTTTTTAAATGAGCATATGTTGCTTTTTCAGTGATTTTTTGGGGTCTGGGGTGGGGGAACTATATAGGTGGGACCAGGGATTTAATTCAAATGAGTAAAGCACATAATTTGCACGTGTGAGGCCATAGTTTCCATCCCTGCACACTTGGCTCCTGCACACCACAGAACATGGTCCTCCAGAACCACCACAAAAAATAAATAAAATAAGTTCTGTTAACTACAAAATTATTGAAGAAATGATGTTAACATGAAGTTCCTCACACTGAACAACATTGTTCATGGCAGCTTTGCCTTGCCCATGTACTTAAAAGTTACTGGAGAGAGGCAGCAAGCAGAAAGCCTTCATAAGTCTCTCAAGCTGTTTTTGTTGCATTTTCCTCCAACTTACCTCCACTCCTGGAGAGAATAAAGGAGAAAATGGAAACAGCTCCAAAAGGCTGACTGGCATATCAGGAAGAAAGGAATACTGCCAGAATTTCTGTCATCTTGGCATGTGGTGGACAAATCATCCTGAGCATGTTAGAAACTGGCCTTCTGGAGGTACAGCTCCAAGGGATCCCAGTCGAGAGGTGTCAGACCCTTCAGTACTATGGACTGTTTGTGAAAAGAAATAAGTTTTGTCACTTAAGATGTTTTTACATGATTTTTAAATGCTTCATGATTCATATAGCTTATGTTCAATTTCTGTACAATATTCAAAAGTCAACCTCCACTACCTCTGCTACCCAGCCACTGCCACGCTCCAGGATGCGTTCCAGACCACGCAACACATCATAAGACATTTAATACCCATCTTCCAGGATTTCCGCACCATATTTGATAGGGTTCAAATGTGGTGGTTTGAACCATGGTAACACCTACAAGGGCAATTAGAGGCCGCCCTAAAAGCCTATATCCTTCTCAGAGAGACTGGCAAGCTACCGTGAGTTTCCTGCCCACACAGCAGAGCCTGGCAAGCTATCCACAGCGTATTTGATAAGCCAAAACCAGTAAATGCAATGGATCTCATTCCCCTGACCCTGAAAGAGCCACCAATACAGCAGCATTAAGAAGGATGAGGAAGAAGCTGATAAAATCTCAAGGCCAAACTAGGCTGCCAAAACGAAGAAAGACAAAAATGACTGTCTGTACTTTCAATGCACATATGCTGGCATTGGATGCATCCATCGAAAACCTGATGGTACAAGCACAAAAGATCAAGTACGACATCATTGCTCTGACCGAGACAAGAAGGCATCAATCACATCATGCCGTTTTCAACACTGGAGAAGAACCGTTCCTCGGAACAAGCTAGAAAAGAGGCTTCGGAGGTGTGGGTGTCCTTGTCAACATGAACTTGGCCATGAGCATTGATTCATTCAAATACCTAACAACCCAAATCGAATAATTACACTTGAATAGATGTGGCTCACTGCCAGAAGTTTCTATCTTTGTTGTCTATGCACCAATTATGATGAAGGAGAAATTGAGAAGTTCTACATGGAGCTGGAGAAGTTCTATAAAGAAGACCACACCTTCTACAAGATGATTGTCGGTGATTTTAATGCCAAGATAGGACCAAGAAGATCAGCCGAAGAACTCCATATCAGGACCTGTGGCCTAGAATGGAATGAACAGGGTAAGAGACTGTCTGAGTTCATCATGTCAACCAAGACCTGTAACCAAGTTACCGTGGTAACTCACAATTTCAGAAGGCTGAATCTAAACATTGGACATGGGAGTCTCCCAGTGGATGGTTCCACAATGAAATTGACCACATCATATTCAATCGATGGTTTTGCCTGACCAATGTCGCTGTTGTCCCAAAATTCCAAATGGGATCAGATCACTGTCTCCTTCGTGCAAAATTCTACTTCACAGAGCAGGGAGAAGGGGCTGCAAAGTTTAAGAAGAGAACTCCCAGAACGACCACCAACTGGGAGCTATTTGGCACTATTGCAGCAACATTGGAAGATGCCGTCATTGACAACATTGATGAAGAATACAATCAACTGGTTCAGCACCTCCATGATTGTGCGAGGAATACCCAGAGAGAGATAGCCACTACATTGTTAATCATCAGGGAAATGCAGATCAAAACAACAATGAGATATCATTTCACACCACAGAGACTGGCCCACATCCAAAAGAACAAAAGCAAACGGTGCTAGTGCAGATATGGCGAGAAAGGGACCCTCCTTCACTGCTGGTGGGAATGCCGACTGGTTCAACCCTTTTGGAAAACAGTATGGACAATTCTCAAAAAATTAGAAATTGAGCTCCCATTTGACCCAGCAATACCAGTCCTGGGAATATATCCCAGATAGGCAGAAAAGTATAGTCGAAGTGACATCTGCACTTGTTTGTTCATTGCAGCACTCTTTACAATAGTCAGAATCTGGAAAAAACTTGAGTGCCCCAGAATAGATGACTGGTTCAAGAAACTTTGGTACATTTACACAGTGGAGTACTATGTAACTGTTAGAAAAGATGAAGTCATGAAATTTACATGCAAGTGGTATTACATGGAAAGTATCATGTTAAGTGAAATGAGTCAGAAAGAGAGGGATAGACATAGAAAGATTGCATTCATCTGGGGAACATAAAGTAACAAAATAGGAGACTAGCACCCAAGAGTAGCTGAGATTAGTACCAGGAATTTTGCTCCATGGCTTGGAGGCCAGCCACACATGCTAGGGAAAAAGGCAGCTTCAGATCGAGAAGGGAGCACCAAATAAAGGGTGTTGGGAGGATCCTCCCAGGATGGGAGAAGCAGGCTGAAAGTAGACTATAGACCAAACATGATTGCCACTCAATGCCTCTTTTGCAAACGACAACACCCAAAAGGAGAGAAAGAGAACAAAAGGGAATGCCCTGCCACAGAGGCAGGGTGGGATGGAGGGGGATGGAGGGTAGGAGGGATACTGGGAACCGTGGTGGTGGAAAATGGGCACTGGTGGAGGGATGGGTACTTGATCATTGTATAACTAAAACCCAAGCACAAAAATTTGTAA